ACATTTCAACTGGATTGCATTTCTGGATAAAAGGAGGACATCTTTTTTTAGAAAAAGATTTTATTTTAAAAAAAAAATATGTGTATGTATAAGTATGTGTGTCTGTCTGGAAGGGCGTGCGGGTGCCAGAAGAGGCTACAGGAGAACACCCGATCCCTGGACCTGGACTACATGTGATTGTGAGGTGCTGATGTCAGTACTGGGAGGTGATCACAAGACTTCTACAAGAGCAACCGGTGCTCTTAACCCCTGAGCCATCTTTCTAGCCCCAAGGGAGGCATCTTTACAAGATTTTCTTCTCTCTTCTCCCTCCTTCCCTCCTCAGTGTGGGTGGGGTGGGGTGGGAGGGGTGTGTGTGTGTGTGTGTATGTGGGTCGCTGGGTGGGCATTCTTGTCAGGTATGTGTTAAGATCAGGAGACATCTCTTAGAACTGTCTCACTCCTTCTACCTTTATATAGGTTCTGGGGATGGAGCTCAGGGTGTCAGGTTTCATTATTGGATTTCAGGTGCCTTTACTCACTAAACCACCTTGCCAGCCCTTTTTTTTCCTAAGACAGGGTTTCTCTGTGTAGCTCTGGCTGTCTTGGAACTCACTCTGTAGACCAGGCTGGCCTCGAACTCAGAAATCCTCCTGCCTCTGCCTCCCAAGTGCTGGGATTAAAGGTGTGCGCCACCACTGCCCGGCGCCAGGAAGTTTTATTAAGCAATATTTCCTAGGAAAAAACGCTTTAACGATTTGCCCCGTATTCTACTCCAGGCTTGATATAAATAAATTTTCATTATCGTGGGGCTCAGTGGTTAAAGTGCTTGTCCCACAAGCCAGCGTAAGGAGTGGGGTTTGGTTCCCCAGCACTCACAGAAATCCTGGGTAGATGTGGTGATCTGCCTTTATGTTCAGCTTTGGAAGGTGGAGACGGGGGATCCCCAGAGCAAGACTAGCCATATTGGTGACCTCTGGGTTTGATGAGAGACTTTCTCTCCATGAGTTAGGTGGGAGGGAGCTAGGGAATGATTCCATTATCAGCCTTGGACCTCCGTGTGCATGCGTACAGAAGCTGGTCCACTGGGATTCAAGCAACAGAACTGTTTGCTCTACGAAGAAACTAGGACGAGACCTGTGCTTGCTGTTAGTGCTCTACCCCACAGCGTTGCCTCCACAGCTTGACTTCTGTCTCTGTAATTTTTTTAAGGGTTTGTTTTATTTTAAATTGTGTCTGTGTCTGAGTCCAGAAGAGGACAACAGATCTCCCTGGCACAGAAGTTACAGACAGTTGTGAACTGCCAGATGTGGGTGCTGGGGATGGAATTCTCTAACAGTCCTTTTAATATAAACGTATGCAGTAAATTAATACAGCGTCTGTTTTCTTTATCCTAGCTAGTTCCCCAATAATGACACAGGGAGACTGAGATTTATTTTCGACTTGAAATATAATAACTAGGCATTATAATTCTATTCTAATCCTTTAATCTAATCTGGCTACCTCCCAGCTAAAATCCCCCTGGCACAAGATACTTGCATTTTTGTATTGCTCTGACCCTTTGGGCTTCAGATGTGTTCTGCCTTGATGTCTCTGTACCCCTTCCTCAAGGTGACTTTTTCTTCCTCTCTTTCTCTCTCTCCTCTCCTGGCTGGCAGAAGTCTCTTCTCTCTATTGCCTAGTCACTGGCTTCTCCAGCTTTTACTGACAAGGCAGTGAATAAATGATGAACATTGTTTACACAATCCTGAGACAGGAGACTCTTGACACAAGCATTACGATGCCCTGTCCAGAGTGCAACAAGATGTGAGGGCAGAGAAATCAGCATTTGAACAACAGGATAAACACTACACAGTGCACAATAACTTTATGCCTGCAGAACTGTGGTCCTTCACAAGAGCAGTGCATGCTGCTAACTTGTGAGATGTCTCTCCAGTCTTATTGGTATTGATTTTATGAGTATTCTTGGATTTCTTTCTCCTTCAGGAAGAATTCAGTGAAGTTATTGGGCCACATAGTATGAGTTTAAAATGTGTCTAATTGTCCTCTAAAAATGCTATGTATCCTTTGGATATTTCCCCCTAGAAGAGTGTGTACAGGGGTTACCTGGCAGTGGGCTTAGTTGAAGTGAAATGGGGTGTCTTAAACTCCTCTTCCTTTGATGGGGAAGGGCATTGAGGCCAGAAGCTGGAGATCAAGGGCAAATTTACAATGATTGGGAAGTTGCTATCTCAACTTCCTTTCCCACTGAGTGAAGTGAGGCCTCCTGTTCTGTGGCAGCTGAAGAAAGAGGTCTGATGCAATGGCTGTAGCACCAAGTGGCTTTAAGTACTTCCTTTGTGGGTTAGTGATGACCTCACGGAGTGGCTCAGGAACTGCAGAGTGCATGAGAGGATAGAAGCAAGGGCATCCAGAGTCAGGCAATGCTGTGTTGTGTTGTCCGCACACTCGGATCTCTCTCATCCTCATGTACAAAGGAGGATTAGCTGGGAAACCTTGATTTTGGATTCTCTAGAGGTGATATTGGGCATCCACGAGCACCTTGCCTGAATAGTGGGCCTAGAGGAGGTGATGTTCTCCAGGGTAGGTAGACCTCCAACACCAGCTGCCTCTGGAGATGTTTCAGCTGTAGTGTGGGAGGGATGGAGTATTGCCAGGATCATTGGTCTAGCTTTGATACAGTGGTGTGATACATTTCCAGACTCTGTTGACGCTCGGAACTCTCAGAGCTGCCAGGACCACAGTCTATATAGCCTTTAGCTGAGAAAAGGCCTCATTCATTTTCCTGTTGATTTAGTAACAGCTGTTGACATTTCTTTTTTCCTTTTTGGGTATTAGTGTAAATCTGGTGGCCTTAGGGTTGTGTAAAGTCTAAAGATAGTCAACAGCTTCTTATTTTCTAATGTTGAGCTCCAGCCTGGACTTTGTGGGGTCTCATGCCAGGACCAAGGTGAGATGGGGAGCCCCTTTGCCCACTGTAGTTTCCTCCAGGTAGGCCGAATACAGTCACCTGGGCTCTTCATCCTGTCGCAGCATCTGGGAAGCATGTCTCTAAGTGGTGGAGAAGTGTTTATAGTCGGACAAATGCTGTGTAGTCTACTGGGCAGAGGGACAGAACACAGGGCTGCACTGTCACTTGTAGAAGGATGCCTTTTTATGGGAGGAGCCTTGTAGTTGTGGTTTTAGGTAGAGATGGCCTTTGGTGTGGGTGTGGTGGCAACAAAGCAAAATGGGAGGTGGGCCAGTCCAGCAGTGGGAGGTCAGAGGCGTGGCTGTTCTTGGGTCTGAATCCTGAGCAGAACAGATGATCAAGGCAAGAAAGGAGCCCCATCTCCTCATGAGGTGCCCCACATGTACACGGCGTGAATAGCTACACAGAGATACGACAGGCTCAGATTCTGTCTTTCAAACCTACAAGAGGTGTGACCTTTCTAGAATTTGGCTCGTGGGGAAGGATATAGCAGGGCCTCTTTTATGAAGGTCTGTGTGATAAGCACACCTTCCCCAGAGTGTGAACTGTGAGTCACTTGTTTTTCTCCTACCTGTTCTCTCTAAGAGGAACCTTTCTATCCGTTTACCACTCATCGCTCACACCAAATGTTTGTCCTGCTAACGTGGTTTTGTATGGGATGCTCCTTACTCCGCCTGCGAAGGTTTGAACACGGGGAGTTTTCTTCCTTGCTGTGTATCTGTGCTTGGCAGCCCACATGGTGAAGCTGCGTGCTTGCAGCCCACAGAAATGAAGTCAAGATCTGAGAGGAAAACAGGAGGCTGGGGGCGTAGGTAACAGGCCTCAGAGAAAGAAGAACTGGAAGAGAACCTCCTGGGTAGGGTACAGAGAGGGGGGAAGGCTAACCCCTAGGAGACTGGTGGTTGTGAGGTTCGTCTTGGAGATGCCATCCATTTTGCTCTAAACCTATGAGCAAGGTTTGATGGCTATCTCCCCAGCATTAATGAGACACGTTTACCTCTTGGGTCTAGGCTAGCAGATTTATGTATTGTGTAATGTATGTATGTATGTATGTATGTATGTATGTATGTATGTATGATGTTTTCTCTTTGCCTGAAAGGTTGTTGTGGGGACATTTTATAAAGAATATAGTAGCTTAGATTTTCTTAGTAGTAATTGGTTTGTCAATTTAAAATAGGAGCTCTAGGTGTGTGTAATGGCACACACTTTTTATCCTAGCATGTATGAAGCAGAGGCAGGGCCATCTCTGTGAGTTCAAGGCTAGCCTGATCTACATAGTGAGTTCCAGGACAGTGTGCTACATAGTGAGACCGTGTCTCAAGAAAAAAAAAAAAAAAGGAAAAAGAAAAGAAAAGAAAGGAACTCTGAGGTAGAGGCAGGTGGATCTATTTGAGTTCAAGGTCAGCCTGGTAACATATCAAATTCCAGGATAGCCAGGGCTACATAGAAGAGACTTTATCTCAGTCAGTCAATCAATCAAAATAGAAACTCTGAAACAATGAAATAAGGTTTTTACCTGCTGTGTTCTGGGAAAGCTTTGAAACACATATAAATAAGTCACGTAAAGTTAAAATTTCAGCCAACTCTGTTGACACATACCTGTAATCCCAGCACTCAAGTGGCCGAGGTAGGAGGATTGTCATGAGTTTGAAGCCATTGTGGATTATATGACAAGTTCCAGGCAAGGCTGGGTTACAGGGTAAGACCCCGTCTCAATACGTTTAAACATATTAAAACACTTTTGAGATTAGATTCCCCCCCCCCCAGGCATGCTGTAGTCATGGCTTGCTTAGGATTTGATTTTCTGAATGGTGGGAACCTTCGAAAGCTCTGGGCAGATGTGGGGACAGTGTGTGTGCGTGTGTGTTTGTGTGTGTGTGTGTGTAGAGTGTTAGTGATAACTGGTTTTTGTACTTGTAAGAACTGAGCCCTGAGAAATCCATGGATGTGGTGTTGTGGTAGGGAGGGTATTCTTCTTTGTTCATTGGCTTTTTCATGACTTTTTAAACATCTCAGTTTTCTCCTAACTTGGTGTCTTCTTGCATCGTAGGATCCTGTGTGAAATGCAGCAAAGGAGTGTTTGGAGCTGGCCAGGCCTGTCAGGCCATGGGGGATCTCTACCACGATGCGTGCTTCACCTGTGCAGCCTGCAGTAAGTGTGTAGCAGTGTGTGTGTCGGGGTGGGGGGTTGGAAAGAGGAACACAGACTGAGAGTGGGGATTTGTGGGGATGGAACCGTGAGCTTCTTACATCCTAGGCAGTTGCTGTACCATGGAGTCACGCTCTGAGTGGAGCAACCTTTAGAGTAAGGATTCTTAACCCCCAGTACAAAGCTAATGAAGTGAGGTGGCTTATCTCTAAGAACTTAAGATAGCAGTGATAAGTTGAGTGGTTGCAAAGTAGCCCTTTAATAACGTTAGGATTGTAATGTACCGTGGAGGACTCAGGAAGAGAGGAAGGACATGTTCACTGCCCTGGCTGTTATCTCCCATACTTCAGGGCCACACAACTAGAGGACCACTGATGAGTTGCTATGCCTCGGGTGAGGTGATGAGTTGAGCCAATGGTAGCTGTTCACTGTGGAGTCTGTCAGACCTGATGTGTGCATGTCAGACTCAGTCATAGATTGATTCTGGCCTCTGCTGAAGATTAATGGAGAGGAGATTTTTTTTTTTTAAAGTTCCCCTCTCCTCCTTCCCTTTTTCCTGCCCCTCCTTCCTGATTTGAAAGACATCTCTTAGCCTGGGCCCTAGTGGCACATATGTTTAATCCCAGCACTCAGCACTTGAGGTGGGTGGTGGTGGGGTGGATCTCAGTTCAGCCAGCCTGGACAACCAAGTGAGTTCCAGGATAGCCAGGGCTACAGAGAGGAACCTTGACTCAAAGAGAGAGGGAGAGAGAGGGGGAAGGTGAGAGGGAAGAAAAAAGAAAGGAAGAAAGTCATCTCTTTACTAGGTCATAGTACCATAACAGAAACAATTTCTGTCATTTCTGTGTCTTAATTCACATAATGGACCTTTCTCTAGCAACTCACCGTTTTCTCTGTGTACATTCTACTCCATGAGTTTGGTCATTGTTTCCAGATGATTTGGCAAAGTTAAGCCAACTCTGCTAAAGTGGAGAATGGCAAGACACAAATGCATGTGAAGGATGTGAACATCACAACACATACATCCTAGAGAAAAGTGAGGAACAGTGTATAGGCAGAACAAACATGAACTATGGTTGGCTGGGCTGGAGGGATGGCTCAGAGTAACCCATCGGTTATTCTTCCAGAGGTCCTGGGTTTGCTTCTCAGCTCCTACAGAGAGGCTCATAACTGTCTAACTCCAGTTCCAGGGAATCTGGTGCCGCCTTCTGGCCTCCACAGGGACTAGGCGTGCACACAGTATACAGATATACAAGCAGGCAAAACACAGAGCTTTATAAAGAACTAATAAAAAAGCCCTAGGGACTTCTACTCAGATAAAGCCAGACCCTTGACTATACCACAAAAAACAGACTTTAAGATGGATCAGTCAGAAATAAAGTTGGTGGATTTATTAAGCAGAGGTGAAGATTAGTACACACTTCAAGTTTAAGCATGGTGTGTGTGTGTGTGTGTGTGTGTGTGTGTGTGTGTGTGTGTGTTTGTGAGAGAGAGAGAGAGAGAGAGAGAGAGAGAGAGAGAGAGTAGAGAAAAAAGGTGGGAGGAAGGAGGGAGGGACAGACATAGCTTAGTTGGTAGAATACTTGCCTAGCATGCATTCAAGCCCCGGGTCCCATTCCTAGCGCCACATAAATCAGGCATACTGGTGAGCGCCTATAATCCCAGCACACAGATCAAGAGTTTAGGGTCCTCTTTAGCTACATAGTGAGTTCAAGGCTAACCTGAGCAACATGTTCAAAAAAAAAAAAGTTATCTTTGGTCTTTGGCTCTTTCAACTGTTTTTTAAATTTTTGAGATTATAATGTAATTACACCATTCTCCTTTTTCTTTCCTTCTGCCGGACACTTCCATATGCCCCTCCTTGCCTTCTTTCAAATCACTGGCCTCTTTTTTTTTCATTAAATGCTGTGACATATGTGTGTGTGTGTGTGTGTATTGCTAACCACAGCCTGCTGCAGCCTGTATGATGTTACTTGTATGTTTGTTTTCAGGACTGACCGTTTGCTATTGGGTAACCGGTTAGTGTGCTCCTCCCTGGGAAGACTGACAACTGTTTCTTAATAGTTGCCCTGTTTACCAAGGAACAAGTAGAAACTTTTTTCTTTCCTTTTTTTTTTTTTAAAAAAAAAAACAAAAACAAAAACCATTCAGGCAGTTCTTGTTTGAACTAGAAAAGCTGTGAGCAGGCAGAAGCCGACTGATGACAATGGGGCCTGCTGTACCAGACCATGGACCAAGCGGCTGGTAGAGAGCTGCACTGAATGCTCACAGTGGAGTCTGAGAAGCCAAGGTCAGGCACCAGCATATTTAGTGTTTTAAGGGGGCTGCTTCGTGGTTCATACATGGCCTTCCTGCATTCCTCACAGAAGAGGGGTGGAAGGTCTCAGAAGGGCACTTCTCTGAGTCACCCCACAGCTCTGGCCCCCCTCACGAGGCTCCATCTCCCAACACCTGCCCCCTAGGACAAACACTTTGTACTCTGTGATCTCAGCATGAGAATTTTAGGGAAGCAGAGACATCCAGTCCTATGTAGATGCATCAGTCATTTTTACCTGCAGTTGTTTGGATAACATCTATTCCTTAGTGCCCTGTTTAGACTGCCTCGCATGGTAGCACACAGACACTGCTGGGCGAAGGTGGTACCTAGGCTCTTTTAAGTTTTGAATATCACTTACATTATACTCTGGCTTGAGTGTCTTTCCCCTCCAAGACTCATGTTGACATGTGATGGTCTAAGCCAGTTTCTGGCATTTGGAGGTGGGGGCACTTGGATGATGGCTGGGATTAGCTGGGGTTATCAGGATAGAGCTCCCCAATTGCTTTATAGTCAAGAGGGGACTATAAATCTGACTTTATAGTCAGATCTCTATCATTCTGAGATGCCTTGTGCTACCTTTGGCCTCTCTACAAAGTCCCCTTTAGCAAGAAGGCCCTCATCAGATATGGCCTTTCCACCTGGGACATTTAGAATTGTGAACTAAATAACCTTTTTTCCTTATAAATTATGCAGACTGTGCTATTCAGTTATAGCATAGCAAACAGACTGGCGACTGAAGATAATGTCTCAAAAGTGCCACCTTGCTTCGTCCTTGTCCTAACATTAAAGGACTAGTCAGAGGACCACAGAGCCAGCTGGAGGAGACTGAGACTGTGGTCAAGGAGCCTCAGCACGTACAGTCTCTTCTGAGCATTGGTCAGGAGGCCTCATATCTCTGTAGAAGCGAGAGGCTGGCAGCAGGCTACATATGAGGCATCTCAGCAAGGCCAAGGCAGACCTTGGTCTTTCTAGGTGCGGGCCCTGTGACAGGTTCTCAGGCACAGATCTGCACACTCACCTACCCCTTGATGGGTTTAGTTCATTTTTAGATATGAGAACCACACGATAACCACAAAGAACAATTTAAAGACAGAAGAAGCCTATTGCTTTAGCCTTGTAGTGCGTCTGTCTTCGTTTTGGTGTCTCCCCTCCGGTTTTATCCCAATCTGTACACATTTTAGAGTTGGGACCAGAATACATCCACAGTGCTTCCTCATTTACTTAGCAGCTGTAATCGCACCAGTGCTCACATGGTAACCCACTTAGTCACTGCACAGTCTGGCTTATGAGTTAGTCAGTGTCTTTGTTCGGTTGCTTTTTTTCCCTCCATTGAGCTGTTTTCTTGGCATTTCATCCCAGAAATAGGCTTTCAGGGAGTGGACGTGTGAACATTTGTGTGGGTTGTTCAAGTTCTCTTGTTTCTTGATGAACTCCTCAGCCCTTGAGTGTTTGGTTGCCATGGAGACATGTGCTGTGTGGTCTTACTTCTCTTTGCTCATCCCCTACCCACCTATGGTGGCTGTGGCCCCAACAGGATGCTCTTAGAAAGCTGTTGGTTCTCCCTAAAGGAGAAAGCAGGAGTGGCCTAGGCAATGCTGGTTTATACTGTCAAGAAACTTAGCATTCATCTCTGGTGGTGCTGGGGACGAGAAGAATGGAGTGTGCTGACTTGTGACAATTGTGTGGGGTTCCCTCTGGCACTTTCTGGAGTAAGCTAAAAGGGAGAAAGTAGGGAAGACCTTATATATAATCACTTCAGACATTTTGGGTCCACAGACGTAAGATTTTTATTGTTGGGGTTTGTGTGCACATTTGTGTGAGCAGATGTAGAGGCTGGGGGAGAGCTGTAGGTGTTGTTTATCCGGAGCTGTCGACCTTCGTTTTCTTCTCCTTTTATTATGTTCATTTTGTGTGGGCAAGTGGGTGGGCTTGCACATGCTACAGTGTAGCTACTTGTAGAGTAACTTGTCGGGTTGTTCTTTTTTACCGCCTGTCTTCTGGAGACCAAACTCAGGCCGTCAGACTTGGTGGCCAGCATTGTTTACCTACTGAGCCATTTGATGACCCATCTACTACTTTGTTTTTTGAGACAAGGTTTCTCATTAGCCTAGGAATCTCCAGTTAGGTGTCACTTGCTGCTTACCATGGGTGTGATGCTCCAAGGGCCTCACTGTGTCCCTGTCATGGTCCAGGGAGTTCTGCTGTTGCCTTCATTTTACAAGTCAGCCTGGCTTGTTGAGTATATCATTCCAAACAGCTTGATTAGCTCTTGATCGGAATCTTGTGGCTCCTCAGCCCTTCTTCCTCACCCCTGAGCTTTGCTGAGAGAGTATACAAGCCACAAGAGGGAGCTGGCACTGGGTGGCCATCTTGCCTTGACTGTTTTGGCCAAGTTGCTGACTTGAGCAGTGCCTCGTGACAACAGGCTGGTGTGCAGCCTCTCTCAAGTGAGTGTCGAAAATAGACTAGACTAGTGAGTCTCGCTTGTCCCAGCTTTCTTCACTGTGTTCACACTTAAGTGTGATTTGACGGAGTCAGCTAGATCCGAGAGCACCGAAGGTCAAGAATATGAGGAGGGAAGAGGAGACACTGAGAGAGGGGCCCAGAAAGAACTCAAAACAGGCTGAAGCTGGGCAGAGTGTGCAGGTCAGGAGACCCAGGAGGGGTGACCAGAACCCAGTGTGCT